TATATATGTTTTGTTTCCAAAACAGGGTTTCTCTGTGTAGCTTTGGAGCCTGTCCCAGAACAGAGATCTGCCTGCCCCTGCCTTCTGAGTGCTAGGATTATGTGAGTTCAAGGCTAGCATGGTCTACAGAGCAAGTTCCAGGAGAGGCTCCAAAGCTACACAGAGAAAACATGTCTCAAAAAACAAAACAAAACAAAACAAAAACCAGGAAAGAAAAAGAAAATCCCAGGAAAATCCACATATAAGTGGGTTATTAGTATTTTTAGATTCATACAATTATCTTTCAATAAAATTATATTTGATATTATTCAAATATTCAAGTTTTCTGGAGTTTCTTACTCCTTTGGGTAGATCCAAGTGCCCATCTTCCATCACCTCTGTTTCACTTCAAAACCTCCCTTTAACTTTTTGTTGTTGTTAACTTAGCCCAGGCTGGCCTTGAACTCCTGATCATCCCAGCACTTGTTTCCTTAGATTTCTAATGACAGGATGCCCTCCTGACTAAGGTCAGGAAAGATTATGACATCATGGAGGAAGTCTGCCCCTGACTCTCTCCTCCCTCTTGTAAATTCTCTGGCAAATGCTAATACTGATGGGCCCGAGCAGAATGAGAAAAGAGGTGTGCAGTGTCCGCAGAAAACCACGGCAGTCCCGCCCACTCTCCAAACCCTTTCCTTCCCTTTCACCCACGCTTCCAAGTCTGCGCCTTGAGTCCCATAAAACTTGTGAGTCCCATAAAAATCGAGAATGAGCAGTGACCCTAGGGACTCAGCAGGTTCTGCCTGAACGAGGTTGGTCAGCCCTGCTGCTTACAGCTGTGCAGGGTGCAGACTACACAAAGGTGCTTGGTCAGTGGGAGATGCTGACCCTCAGCCTGAACCCCATTCACCAAGCCAAGGGCACTGTCCAGAACTGCACAGAAGGCCCTTCCATAATCCATGTAAGGGGCTATAGGAGAAGGGTAGCCAGAACATCAACATACACTTTGTATTTTTCCCCTTCATACTTATCAATGGATTAAAATTTGTTGATCTTCAGTCTCCAGTGTGACAACCTACAGAAAACACGGGCTTGCCAAACTAAAACTGAAGTCACCCTTCTGGAAGAAAGCCATGAGGGTGGAGCCTCGTGCTTTCCTGTGTCACCATCAAACCTGACAAGCCCAGAGTCAACACCCAGTTAACTGTCACATGACTGAGTTTATGGGAGGGAGGGCCATCTGGCTAAGATGAAGCTAGGGAATGAAGAGTGTGGAGCACCCAGCGTGGCAAAACCAGCATCACTACAGACACATTCTTGCTCATTATAGCCTCTGCGCCCATGAGGTCTCCATAAGCTCAAAACAGTCCTGGGGATGACACTGAGAAGGAGGAGCAATCATCATTGTTCTTGGCCATCATAAAGTTGGAGTTGTTTGCTTTACTGAGAAACCCGATATCCAGATTTGAGATCTAACACTTAGATTCCCTCTTAGGAACCTACTGAGCTGGGCATTGGAACTTAATCAAAGTGCATTACATACATGCCAGAAAGTGTCATAATGAAGTCTATTATTTTGTTAATGTACAATAATGAAACATTTGATATTGGGTTACAGGCTCAAGGCCAGCTTGGGCTACATGGTGAGCTTTTGTCCTAAACAAAAACAAACAAAAAGTACAAATTTAAGTGTGTGTGGAACAGAGAGTATGTGTTAAGCACAAGTAAGGCCCTGGGTTTGATCTTAGAACCAACACAAACCAGAAAAATCTCAAGCCAAGAGTAATGGTGAGAAATAGCAATCCAGGGAGTTCAGCAGCCAAAGGCTGCTGAGCCGTGGTGAAGAAGGCTGAGCGTCTCCCAGCTGCCTCCAGGACCTTCTTACCCACATCAGCTGGCGAAATACTGAGTGAACTCCCAGAGTGGAGTAGGAAGCTCTTCCACCATTGACTGTGGGGATGTGGGGGTCCTGAGTCCTGCTTCTGCTGTACCCTTTAGCCGGCCTGCAACTGAGGGCGGGGCCTGGTACAGGCTATGTGGGGGTGGGAGGGTGGGATGAACGCCCTCCTCTTTTAAATGTCCATGCTTCACAGTCATGCTTGGCATGAGTGCTTGATAATAGGCAAGATGGCACACTTGCAGTTGCAGCTCCTCTGAGGTCTGAGGCAGGAAGATCTTGAGTTCCAGGACAGTCTGGGCTATTCGGCAAGACTTCTTACTAAACACATGTCTAATGCCAACAACACCGCTCTGTTTCAGGGAATATGATGGAAAGTCTGATCTGCATGTTGGACTCACTAACACACGAGGTGAGCATTTGATCATTTTTTCCAGCGTAAGAAAACCCCACAATTACCATTAAGGGGAAAAGAGGGTTTCCTGACAGGATGAGCAGCAAACCCATTCTGCCTTCCTTGCTTCTCCTACTGCAACCCAAAGCAGGTCATGTGACTTGGGAAAGTCAGCACTACTTACAGTTTATATATTTGGAAGACTAAAAACACTTTTTAGTGATGTTGGGGTGGAACCCAGGCAGGACCTCCTGCATGATTAACCCACACCACCACTGAGCCACACCCCGACCCCTGGAGAAGTCTGTTTTCTCAGAAAAAAGCAACACAAACCTGCACACTTCTGTGACAGATTTAAAGAGAAAGAAACAGATGGTCTGGAGCTGAGTCGACCAAGATGTGTTCATGTTTGAATCAGATTGCAGGCCTCTGGCTTCCGATTCCCCACTCTCATGGTCTCCCCACTATGCAGGGTCCCCATACTCCAGGCTTGAAGAATGAAATGGGATGTGGTGGGGTCTGTAGTCTCTGGCTTTGGAAAGGTGCACTGGGGGTATCTGTGTCAGAGCACTTGCCTAGCCTGAGCCTGGCTCTCGGTTCTCCCTGAAGTACATGAGTCAAAAGTGGGACATTGCCTACCATGTTCTGTGGGTAGGATTCAGCTCAGAAGCCACTAAGTTACTTCTGGGAGACATATTAATGGGACACTTACCTAACACACACAAAACCCTGGGTTTGGCCCCACTACATGTAGCTCACAAGATCAGGGTTCTCAACCCATTTGGGGTCACATAATAGCTTTCCTCAATACCAGATATTTACATTGTGATTCATAACAGTAGCAAAATTACAGTTATAAAGTAGCAACAAAGTAATTCTATGGCTGGGGGGGGGAGGGGGTCGTCACAGCATTAGGAAGGTTGAGAACCACTGTCCTAGATGGAAAGGCGCTCTGACAGTTGCAGACAAGTGTGACAAAGATTACAGGATTTATGGCTGCAGCCATTTTCTGAGCACCTGCCACAGGGCACCTGCCTCTGCTTTGGGTTTTCAGGGGTCGTGTATAACTACAACGAACACGGCATACAGCGGGACGAGGCAGGATGGGAGCAGAGTCTCAGCGTCCCTCTGGTGCAGCCCAGCATGTTTGGGCTGATGGACCAGTGGGACAAGTACTTGGAAGACTTCTCTGCTTCTCCGGCCTGGCTGCCTCACAGGTAGGTGTCTGGAAAGACTACGAGTCACTCCCACTCATTTGTCACGTAAGTGGCATCCTCATTGCCGTGTGGTCACTGCTGTGTTTCAAGTCTATGCTTGAGACTGCCAATCTGTGAGAACAGATAAATCCAGTTATTAGAAAATGTCCCTCGAAGATTCTTGTGTTTGAATACTTGGTTCTCCAGATGGTGGCGCTATTTTGAGAGGGAGGTTGAGGAACTTGGGCAAGTGGGACGGGGCAGGAGGGTCTCTTGGGACAGGCCGTGGGGTTTGGAGTCTTCCTTCCTCCCTGTCCCATCTGTGCCTTTTGCTCCTTGGAAATGTGAGCAGCAGCCTCACGCTCCTGCGGCCACCAGCTTTCCCAGAGGACGCTAGGCGGGACAGGTCCCTCAGAGCCCGAGTAAAGCTGCTGCTCCTCAGTTACTTGGCCATGGAAGTTTCCTGAGGAGTGAGGCCAGCAAACACTGATGGGCGAAGTGATGACTGCTGCACACTCAGTGTTTTGAGACCTTTGTGCTCTCCTGCTTAGGTCTTTCACTGATGTGACAAGAGGCTTTTACTTTTAAGATTTATTTTAAAATATTTATTTATTTAAAATGCACGTGGGTGCTTTACCTGAGTGTAAATTCACTACATGCATGCAGATCTTGAAAAGGAGAGATGAGGGTGTTGGATCCCCTAGAACTGGTTACAGCTGGTTGTAAATTGCTGTGTGGAGCCCGGCGGTGGAAGTACACAGCATTTGGGAGGCAGAGACAGGTGGATCTTTGTGAGTTCTAGGACAGCCTAGTCTACAGAGTTCCAGGACAGCCAGAGCTATTCAGAGAAACCCTGTCTCCAAACACAAAACAAAACAACAACAAAAAAGCCCAAACTTCTGTATGGGTGCTGGGAACTGAACCTGGGTCATCTTGAAGACCAGACAAAGTTCTTTTTTTGTTTTTGTTTTGTTTTTTGTTGTTCAAGGCAGTGTTTCTCTTTGTTGCTGTGGAGCCTATCCTGGTACTCGCTCTGGAGACCAGGCTGGCCTCGAACTCACAGAGATCCGCCTGCCTCTGCCTCCCGAGTGCTGGGATTAAAGGCTTGTGCCACCAATACCGGGCCCAGACAGGGTTCTTAACTGTGGAACCATCCTCTAGCCACTGCTTTTTATTTTTCTTCTCCCCCCCCAAGACAAGGTCTTACTGTATAGCCCAGGCTGGCTACAAAATCACCATCCTCCTGCCTCAATCTCCAGAGTGCTGGGATTAAAGAAGAATGTTACTATGCCCAGCTATGAGAATGTATTTTTAAACATACACAGAAAAATCCATGTTATATTTCATAATTTTTATTTGGTTTTTCGAGACAGGGTTTCTCTGTGGCTTTGGAGGCTGTCCTGGAACTATCTCTTGTAGACCAGGCTGATCTCGAACTCACAAGAGATCTGCCTGCCTCTACCTCCCAAATGCTGGGATTAAAGGCGTGTGCCACCACCGCCCGGCCTATATTTCATAATTTTATATTTAGTTTTTGAGACAGGATCTGTCTTCATAACCTTGGCTGTCTTGGAACTCATTCTGTAGATCAGGCTGGTCTCCAACTCACAGAGATCTGAATGTCTCTGCCTCCTGGGTGCTAGGATTAAAGGTGTGTGCCCAATGCCCAGCTCATAATTTTATTCTTGACACAAGCTCTCACTATGTGGCCCAGACACACCTTGAACTCTCAAGAGATCCACCTGTCTCTGCCTTGGGCATGCTAGGCTTAAAGGCATGTACTACTATGCCTGGGATTCCTAAAATTTTACAAGTATTGTTTATAGTGTACAAATATTTAAGTGCATTTTTGTTTGTTTTAGCAATTTGAAATTAATTTCTCAAATTTTTTTCCTCTTCACTCTTTTTTTTCTGGAGTTAGAGTCTCACTATGTAGCCCTGGTTGGCCTTGGACTCACACGGATCTGTCTGCCTCTGCCTCCTCCGTTTTGGGATTAAAGATGTGAGTCTTGGTTAATTTTTTTTTTTTTTTTTTGGTTTTTCGAGACAGGGTTTCCCTGTGGCTTTGGAGGCTGTCCTGGAACTAGCTCTTGTAGACCAGGCTGTCCTAGAACTCACAGAGATCTGCCTGCCTCTGCCTCCCGAGTGCTGGGATTAAAGGTGTGTGCCACCACTGCCCGGCTCCATTAAAAATTTTTTTAAAAGATTTATTTATTTATCATGTATTCAGTGTTCTGCCTACACGTATGCCTGCAGGCCAGAAGAGGGCACCAGACAGATCTCATTATAGATGGTTGTGAGCCACCATGTGGTTGCTGGGAATTGAATTCAGGACCTCCGGAGGAGCTCTTATAACCTTTGAGCCATCTCTCTAGTCCTGGATTAAATTTTTTAAATTACATTTTGTTCATTTACTTTGGGTGTCCTGTGTGTGTGTGCACCACAGCACATGCATGATAGTCAGAGGACAACTTGGAAGAGTTGGTTCTCTCCTACTATCATGTGAGTCCCAAAGATTGTCGAGGTTTGTGGTAGGTGCCTTCACCACCGAACAGCTCTTAATGTCAGCATTTGCTAGGGCCAGCATGGTGGCCTCAGTGGAGCTCACTTTTCTCTCAAGGTACGAGGAGAACCACCACAACTGCTCCAGCTTTGCCCTCACCTTCATTAACTGCATCCTTGCCATGGAGGGCAAAGAGCAGCTGGACAAGAGGGAGTTCACGGAGAAGTACGTGGTCCCGAGGACGCGCCTGGCCTCCAAGTACATCATGCTCTACAGGGCCATCCAGGAGAGGGGCTTCCACGTGGCTGACCATCCCGACCCAGTGACAAGTCCCTCGTGAGCAGTCTGTGTTGGGTGCTTCCAGTGAGGGCAGTTGGGGCAGGACATTCGGGTTTACGATTTTTAAATGGTACTGCGGATTCCTAACTGTATTTAACTGTGGCTAATAAAAAAATGATGTATAGTTTTCCCTTAAGCATGATTATAAAAACTTATAAAATTAACAAAAATAAATAAAAATTCACAGAGCTAACAAAATTACAGAGTATACAGTTCAGTGGGAAAACCACCTACCAATCATGTAAGAGACCCTAGGTCCAGTCCCCTGTACCACACTCCCAAATTAAGACAAAAAAACAAATTTCCCTGGGTCTCAAAAAATAATATTCTAAATTTCTTCCACAGTTGTTTTTAAGCTGAGAATCTGCTAACAAAGTAGAAGAATCTTATTCACTGATCCAAACAAATGCTTTGTATAAATTACTGTAAACTGAGCACATTGGCTTTTTGATGTGACTGAAGAGTGGTGGACTAGAGAGAGGGGTGTTGAGGGTAGGAGAGGGAGACACGGGCTCTGAAGATCTGAGTGAGTATGTCTTACACCTGCACTTGAAGGCACACGAGAAGGCTGGGGGTGAAGCCAAATGGTAGAAAATCTGCCTGCGCAGTAAACTCTGGATTGTCAAGAATAATAAACAAGACAAACAGAAACAGATACAATAGTGGCTGGAGAGATGGCTCAGGTGTTACGAGCACTTGTTCCTTTCGCAGAGGAGTTGGTTAATTCCCACACGGCAACTTGCAGCCACCTGTTACTCCAGTTCCAGAGGATCCAACACCCTCTTGTGGCCTCTGTGGGCACCAGGCACATGGTGGACAGACAGACATGCAGGCAAAATACCCATACACATTAAATAAAATAATTCAAAATTAAAACAATAAAACCCCCAAGTGTAGCAGAAGTATCTTTGAAACTGTCCTTCACCCTCTTCTGACAGAGCTGGCCATTGCTCTAACAGACTTCATTTTCTCTCTGGCCTGTTCTTTCTTTGGGCTTTTTTTTTTTTTCTTCTCCAGATGATCTCAAATTCTAGGGAGAACAAACGGAAAGCAGGACACCCAACCCCCTGTGACTGGTCACCCAACACCCCACGAAAGCATATCCAATACCCACAACTGACAGGGCAAACTTCATTAAATTCTTCTTCTGCCTCACCACACTCACTCCTCAGCTGTTTGGCTCTCCTGGGAACTAGCCCTGGTCTGCTAAGAGACCCCTGGTCTGGGGCCATGTTAATACAGGGAAATCTCATGGGTACCAATGATATTAGTTATTTCCCTCATCGTTGTGACCCTAACCTGACAAAAGCCACTTAGGGAAGGAAGTTTGGTTTGAGGGGGCATTCCATCATGGTGGGAGGTCACAGAGGCAGGACTGAGGCAGCTGAACGCACTGCACCCACAGTCAGGAAGCAGAAAGATGGGCACTGGTGTTCAGCTCGATTTTCTCCTCTGTATTCAGTGCAGGACACCAGACCATGGGGCTGTGTGGCTCACTACTTAGAATGGGTTTTCCCATGGCCAGAGGTTTGTCTTCTAGGTGGTTCTAGATCCTGTTGACAATCAACACACATAAGCCACCATAGGCTCTAAGTCTGAAGACAGCCTCTGTTTTCCCAGGAGCTCTTGAGAGTCTTTTGGCATAAACCAGATTGGAACCTGCCTTATTTTAAATTTTTTGGTCAGCATACAAAATCACAAGTTCCATGATAACATTGTCCCATGTGTGTATCATACACTGTCACCCTTCCTTGCCTGCCCCCATACCTTATTACTCAGCACTAACAATAAAGATAGAACCTTTCCTACAGAGGTCTCTGGTGAATGCTACAGTACAGGTAAATAGCGGGGTGGGGTGGAGGGAGTAGACTTCCCTCCACACCAAATACCCATATTTATAAAATCAGGAACTTTAAAAGCTGCCCATCCAGATCCCAAACAACAGCTAAGACTTCACTGGAAACTGAGGTGACTGATAGAGCCAGGCTCTCTCCATGAACTGGAAGCTCACCATTTTGGCTCTGCTGGCCAGCTAGAGAGCTCTCCAGATCTGCCTATCTCTACCCCACCTCCCACCCACAATGCTGGGTTACAAGGTGTGTGCAGCCATGCCTGGCTGTGTACCTGGCTGCTGGGATGCAAACTCAGGTCTTCATGCTTGTGTAGCAAGTGCTCTTACCCCGAACCATCGCCCCAGCCCAGCTCCATTTCACAGATGAGGAAACTGAGGCTCAGAGAGACCATCATTCCCAAGGCTGCCCATCTGAGTTTCTGCTTTGTGCCCTCTCAGGGTCCAGCCAGAGGCTTACTTATAGCAGGTGGTAGGGCTTGGTTAAAAAGGTCTGAGGTGGACCATTCAGTTCATACACATGCCATTCTCGTAATGCCTCTTTATTTTTAAAAGTTCTGCCCAAAAGTTCTCTCAAAAAGCTCTCTTTAAGATTTCTCCTCAAAAGTTCTTTCTCTAAAAGCTCTTCCTTAAAGTTCTCTTTAGAAGTTCTCCTAGATCCCACATGGTTTCCAGTTTATATACCCACAGACACAATTAGCAATTCTCTGGCAACGGCAAGGACACCAGGCATGCATATCTCTCAAGGCCAAGAAGGCAGGTAAAGTCTTGACAAAAGCGGGCACCTAATGTTTTAATACGTCCAGGCAAACGTAAGAGGCGAGGAAGGGTTAAATGGCTATGATCGCTAAGATGGAGAAAGGGCGTTAGTACGTAAAACTACATTTATGTGGTTAGTTAAACCAGAAGTCTATAATTGATAAATGTAAAACAAGGAAGAAACACTGGGAGTTTATAATTGACAAATGTAAAAGAAAGGGAAGAAGCACTGTAGGCACTGGGTTTTGCTTTCGCTTTTTTAGTAGCTGGAAACAGTGTCATGGTAGCCATGACAACTTGCATAAGCTGTGGAAGGAAAATGGGTCCTTGAGCCATATTAGCATTTTCAACAAATGCTAGAGAATTCTCCCAGCATTAGATCAAAGTAAAAGGCTATGTGATCTGGAGGCTATTGCTTCCAGCCTCAGGGTAAGCACTGGGGGCTCTTACCACTGACCCTCCCCTCCCACCCATGAGAAGGAATTTCCTTTCTCTGGGGCCTTTTTGAGAATATAAAGCACCAGTATTTTATTTTTCTTTTCTTTTTTTCTGTTTGGTTTTTTGAGACAGGGTTTCTCTGTGGCTTTGGAGACTATGCTGGAACTATCTCACTATCTCTTGTAGACCAGGCTGGTCTCGAACTCACAGAGATCTGCCTGCCTCTGCCTCCCGAGTGCTGGGATTAAAGGTGTGCACCACCACCCAGTAATTTTCTATGTATCAAGATTCACAGCCAAATTCATAGCAACAGATAATCTGAGCTCTGTATTTCTTGTAAACTTTTGTGAGGCAACTTTTCTCCATCAGAAGTTAATTCTGGTGTGTTGATATCTAGAGTATTAATTGCTACTTCTGTTATAAATGAAAAAGGCTCTCAGCACTTACCCAGCATGTGTGACACTTGGGCAGACTTTAGGAAGAACTATCACTGATGAAATGTGGTGTGGAGGGGGCTGGAGAGATGGCTCAGCGGTTAAGAGCACTGACTATTCTTCCAGAGGTCCTGAGTTCAATTTCCAGCAACCATATGGTGGCTCACAACCACCTTAAATGAGATCTGGTGCCCTCTGCTGGCATGCAGGCACAAGACTGTATACATAATAAATAAATAAAAATCGTTAAAAAAAAAACTTAGCCAGCCTGGCAGGTGGAGACTGATCAGGAGGAGGAATCTGAGGTAAGCTGGAGCATCCTAGCAAAACCTTGTATCACCCTCCCCTCAAAAATTCACATGAAGATGCCAATTATTCAGGCTACTAGAAGCCTTTCACATAAAGGAAATGCATACACCAGCCATTACTTTCACAGGTTTAGAATGCTTTTTTTCCCATTATGTGTTTGTAGGCAAGTGATCCCTATATTTTGCACAATGGTCAACCTGCTTTTAACCTTTTAGTAGTTTGCAAAACAACAAATGTTTATGATAAACTGGTGTGTTAAACATCTGGGCTGGTGGAGTTCAGGAGGCAAGGACACTACGGCTAATCTTAATGACCCACAAGATGGAAGGAGAGAACTTGACTCCTGTTAAGTCCTCTGACCTTCAACCCAGAGGCATTTATTTCTGTGTAAATGCCCATCTGGAAGAGACTCCTGTGAGCCTGAGGCTCCAAAGGTATGGGGAGGCAATTCTGCTGAGTTAGAGTATGGCATCTCACTTGTGCAAAGTCCTGAAGATGGCTTTGTCATAGGGCAAATTTCTAATTTTTTTGTTTTTGTTTTTGTTTTTTTGAGACAGGGTTTCATTGTGTAGCCCCGACTGTGCCAAAACTCGCTCTGTAGACCAGGCTGGCCTCCAATTCACAGAGATCAGCCTGCCAATGCCTCTGCCTCCCAAGCGCTAGGATTAAAGACTTAAAGGCATACACCATCACCGCCTGGCTGCAAATTTCTAATCCTGATGAACTTGGGTTTTTAAAACAAACGTCTGTCTCCCATTTGCACATTTGTTTCAGAAGGGCACAAACCCTTCAAGGGTAAGCTGACACTGCTATTGGCTGGAAGCCACAGGTGGTATTGAATCAACATCCACTGTATTTCAATCCAGCACCCCATGGTCTCTATGGTAACGTAGAAGAGCATGTGGCTTGGCGATGTCCATGTCAATCATGCAAAGAAGAAACATTTTTACACAGGCTTGAGTAGAGACACTGCTTCTGGGGCTGGGGACCTATCAGCTGTGGGGCTGGAGAGATGGCTCAATGGTTAAGAGCACTGACTGCTCTTCCAGAGGACCTGGGTTCAATTCCCAGCACCCACATGGCAGCTCACAACTGTCTGTAACTCCTGTTCCAGGGGATCCAATGCCCTCATAAAGACATTCATTCATGCAGGTGAAACACCAATGTACATAAAATAAAACAAAACAAAAAAAGCAAACTCTAACCTAGCACAGGTAATGCCTGAGTCTCCAACAGCTCCAACCAAACCTATTGAGAAGATCCTGCAATGCTGCCCGTTCCCCCACCCCCTCACCGGGGTGGGTATTGAACCCAGACCTGGCTTTGTAGGCTGTTCCCTACAGCGTCCAGCCTAGGATGCTCCTCCACAGCGTTCAGTGACAAGTGGTACCTGTGGTCTCTAGGGCTTTCCATACCACATGGTTATTGAAGTTTGTATACTTGGAGACACACTCAACCTTCAAGGCACCTGAGATGGCATGAGGCAGGGTGGATGAAGCACTCTTGGGAGAGTTCAGACTGCAATGCATCCAAGCACTAAGTAGGACTAAATGAAATATGTGAAGTGGCTCCTCAAACTCCTGTCTGACTTTAAAAGTTCTGAAAAGTGATGAGTCAAACAACAAGAAACCACAAGAAATCTCAGAAGCCTGGCAAAAATGGGGGGGGGGGAGACAGAGAGAAGTGGGGGGAAGACAAAGTCAGCAAAAATGAACTTGGAGCAGGCACGTCTGTACAGCCCACTGATGCTCGAAGGGAGTCAGGGCGGGGAGGAGCAACACTACTACTGAACTTGCTCTTCAGATCACAAGGCCTAACACACGTGCGAGGGCAGGATTGAGGCCTGGACAGATGCACACAACTAGGATGTAAGCCATGAGCAGAGCAGACTGCATGGAGTCAGAAAGCTGGTGGCCACAGGTCACAGCGATTAGCACTATGTGCCTGTTCTTTTAAATATCACTGCTTCCAAAGATGGTCTCAGCCAACCACTTTGGGATTGTCATGTGTCAGTTTCTTGAGCCTGGACCTGGATGAATCTCAGACATTTCTCTTTCACTTACATGAACTCACACTGTGGCTCTCAACCCATCCTCACAGGACCACCTCTCAAGGCCACACCCCTGGCTGGCTATCTGGTAAACATGTACCAAAAATATGTTGAAGCTCAATTTACCTGTTTACAGTACCGAAGGGGATAGTTCTTCCAGGGAGATAACCCAGTCAGTAGCTTCTCCCCCGTAAGGGATTAATGTGATTCTTGAAGGATGGTGTAGCTCCTCAGAGATATAGTTAGAGAACTATATCCTCATCCCAGGTCTTGTTTTGGTTCATGTCCCTTCCCATTTCTCCCGAAAATTATGATGACATCTAGTGCTCGACCTGTGTCATGCTGTTTGGACTTTGCAGCCATGAAAATCCTGAACCAAATAAGGCTCTTTCTTTACATGCTATTTAGCACCAGACATTCTGTTATAGAAACACAAAAACTGACTAAGATGCCCAAATGCCCCTTGGGCAAAAATTTTTCTGCTCTCTAACCCATGGGAAGATGGGGACGATGTCATGTTCTGCTAAACATAAACTACATTCGTTGTCTTTCAAAAAGCTTCACTGCTTTTTTTTTGTTTTTGTTTTGGTAGATAGGGTTTCTCAGTGTAACAGTCCTGGCTGTCTTGGAATTTGCTTTGTAGACCAGGCTGGCCTTGAACTCATTGAGATCCACCTGCCTTTATCTTCTGAGTACTGGGATTAAAGGTGTACATCATCACCACACTGCTTATTTTTATTTTATAAAAATTTCTCCAAATTCTCTGTGTAACATCCTGGCTGTCTTTGAACTTACTTTGTAGACCAGGCTGGACTGGACCTCACAGAGATCTCCCTGCCTCTGTCTCTTGAGTGCTGGGATCAAAGATGTGTGCCATCATCACCTTGTGCAAGACCCATTTTGAATAGCTAATATGGTATAATTTTGTGTTCAACATGCAAGCATGTCAAATAATGAGTTCATTAAGAAGACACCAGTCACTCAGTATTTCAAGGATTCCAGGCCATCACTTATTTTCAATCCTTTGGGTTATTGTTTGAAGTCATTGGGTGAACTGAGCCACAGGAGTAGATTTTCCATTTCAAGCAACAGAACATGGGGCTGTGACCCCCAAACACACTCATGCTCCTGTGAACTGAGGAGTCTGAGGCTGAAAGGTCAAAGCTCATCTTGGTCACTTCTCTCTCGTGAAGAAACCCAACGGCTGAGAATCACCTCCTGCAACCAAGTAAAAGAGGGCTGGGCTTCAGAAAAAGAAGTAGGAGTCCCAAGCATGTGACGTCATGACCCTCACACGGAAACCTGAACTAGTGTACCAACACAAAGCAGTGAAGGCTGGTGCCTAACCCTAGGGCTGGTCTGGGGTGCACTGGCCCTTTTGGCTAGCCATGGGAGTGAGAAGTGAACTCTGGTTGACATTTTATGAACCACCAACCTAGAGAAGATCAGAACAAATGGAGGGAGGTGGCACTGGGGCCCTGGAGACTGACAGGGCTCTGACTGGGACCAAGGAGGATGCAACCTATAGAGAGAAGGAAAACAAGAGCACGCTGGCTTGTGCAGGAAGCACAGATACTGTTGAAGTCTTTCAGGCAGTGGGCAAAGGGAAGGGCACAGAAACAGCAACAAACACTGGGGACTCCATGATGAACTTGGCAGCCCTAGCAGAGGAAAACCAGCCAGTACTAGAGGCCATCTGGTTCAATACAAGAACAAGGGAGTGAGATGTGTGGGCGTGCGTGAGGCTCAGTGGCAGAGTAGGCACTTAGTATGAGTGAGGCCCTGTGTTTTCACCCTCAGCACTGAAGGAAGTCACATGAGAACTTAGAAAAGGGAGAGACAGCTAGTCTCTGGGAGTGAGACCTATGGGAGACCTGGCCTGGCTCCAGCTGGAGATGGGGGAGCAACAGACAGACTGGCCGGGGCTGTGGAATGGTGGTGTCTAACAGGTTCAGTGGGAAGAAGGACAGAGAGGTTAACAGGGCCAGAAGAAGCTCTCCATCACTGAGAAAAGGCCCTTCCTGGCAGGTTTCCAGAGGACGCAGTGGGAGCAGACTCTTGGGAGGCCGTGGTAGGCCTCTGCACGCACAGACCTGAACCTGTATCCTCTTCATGCACTCTGGGGTTTCCATGTCTTCGCTAGTCATGGTAGAGGGCTTAATCAAGTAGCACAGCATCAGCTCCTGCAGAGAAACAGAGACCTCAATGTGCCAGCATGTGAGGAGGGACAGGCACCCCACCTGTCCCCGTGCACACTGGACACACTATAGTGTGCGCTCACAGCACACCGCTGTCTAAACACCCGGCTTTTACAGTCACCCAGAGGATGTGAGAATGGGATGAAGCACACAAGTTGATTGACTGCACAGCTAAGACGGAAAACACTTACTACTTGTGTTATCAGATGGGGAGACAGGCTGGCTCAGACTCATGACCCTCCTGTCTCCACTTCCCAAGTTACAGGTGTGTTCCCCTGGCTGAGATGTACAAATAACTTTTTAAATTATGTGTTTATCTTTGTGCCTGTGTGCATATGAGTACAGGTGCCTGTGGAGGCTGGAAGAGGGCATTGGACCTCCTGGAGCTGGAGTCATAGGCAGCTGGAAGATGCCTGATGTGGATGCTCTGATCCTCTGGAACAAAGTGCAGTGTGAGCTCTGAGCCACTGAGCCCCAAATGACTTGGAAAAAAAAAAATCCTTATTTTTGCTTATGTGTGTGTGTCTCTGTGTATGTATATGTATGCCACGTGAGTGCAGTTGTCAATAGAGGCCAGAAGAGGGCATCAGATCCTCTGGAGCTGGATCACAGGTGGTTGAGTTGTCTGATGTGGGTGTTGGGCTCAACTCTGTTCCTCCGCAGGAGCAGCAGGTGCTCTTAACCTCAGAACCACTTCTCTATCCCCACATTCCCACTTTAAAAACTTTTTACTATGTTTAAAAGACAAACAAAAGAAATATGTAAGTGACAGGCAAGGCTAAGGCTGTGGTACCTTAGAGACGTTGCCTGAGACTCTGCTCAAGGCGGCCAGTGACTTCCAGCTGAAAGGTCTTCGGAGGGAGCCCTCAAAGTTGTCGTCTACTAGCTCAACGATGACAGAATAGCTAGAAGACAAGAGAGGCATCCTGGGAAAGCCATATCATCAACTTGTTCAGAGAGCAGTGTGTCTCACTAAAAACCAAGACAGAAGGATTTCACATCGCCTGCTGCTAAAAGCCTAGACCACTAAAGAGAGCTACTAATGACCAACTGATGGGAAGCTACCCCCTTCAGGCTGATGGCACACTTACTGACAGGAAAGACTAGAAATACTTTTCTCAGTGTGAAAATGGTAAATTCATACAGTTGTTTGGATACTCATACTCACTGGCTGCTCTGAGGACTGTACACAGACTAACCTGTTGTTTTACACATCCATGATGTGCACAGTGTAACAAGACTAGTGTCCTATCACTTCCTTGTAGTGCTGATCATGGAACACAGGGCCTCACACAAGCATTCTACCCCAGGCTCAGCCTGAAGCCTGTAGGAACATGCTTTCTTTTCTTTTTTTTTAGAGACAGGGTCTCACTATGTAGCCCTGGCTAGTCTAAAACTTGCTATGTAGACCAGGCTGACCTCAAATTTATAGAGCTCTACATACTTCCTCTTCAGAGTGCTGAGCTTAAAGACATGTTCTACCACACCTGGCCAGGAATATGACTTTTTAAAAGAGATATAGGTTTGGGCTGGAGAGATGGCTTAGTGGTTAAGTGCATTGGCTGCTCTTCCAGAGGACTTGGGGGTCATTCCCTGCACCCACATAACAGCTCACAACTGTCTGTAACTCCTGTTCCAGAGGATCTGACACCCTTATGCAGACATATGCAGGCAAAACATCAATGTACATAAAATAAGTTACTAAAAAAGTAAGTATAGGTGTTTGTCCACCCATGTGTTTGTGCACCATGTTCATGCCTGGTGTCTATGGATGCCAGAAGAAGATACTGGATCCTCTTGTTGTTAAGTCACCACATGGGTGCTGGGAACTGAACCCGGATCTTCTGAAAGAGCAGCTCTGGCTGTCCTTGAACTTGCTCTGTAGACCAGGCTGATCTTGAACTCAGATCCGACTGCTTCTGCCTCCTGAGTATTGGGATTAAAAGCCTACACTACCACTTTTATTTGTTTCTGAGACACTGAAAACTAAACTTGAAGCCAGAAATTTCTTTGTGTTCTTTCAATTAATTTATTTAAAAATTTCCAAACCTTGCGTGGTAAAATGGAGGGCCTTTCCGATACAGCACTGCAAAGAAGAGAAGGGAGACGTTAACCCATCACAGCCAGGCTGAGCGAGGCAAACACTCAGCTCTCTGCATGAGGGTACTGCTCTCTGCCCTCCAGCCTTCTTCCGATCCAAAATCCTTCTCCCAGAAACAAAGAAGTTAGTCAAAGCTGGGTGGTGGCAGCACAAGCTTGTGATCTCAGCACTTGGGAGGCAGATACAGGTGGATCTCTGTTCGAGACCAGCCTGGTCTCCAGAGTGAGTTCCAGGATAGGCTCCAAAGATACACAGAGAAACCCTGTCTCGAAAAACAAACAAAAACCAACCCTGGCCCACCCCATAAGCAACTCCCCCAAGTTAAATACAAGTCATTCTTTTTGGCTTTCTTCTGGTGTTGGAGACTGAATCTAGTGATTCACTCTTCCCAGGCCGTACCCCCAGCCACAAGTGTCTTTCTCCATGTGTATGATGTGGTAGAAAGAACATGAAGTCCATAAAATGTACAGCATTTGTGATTTGTTGCAAATCAACCAAACTCAGAGTGAGGGTGGCCCTGTCTGCTGAGTGCTGTGGCAGGTGCCGCACTGGAGATGAGCAAACCTCCAGCATATTTCCAGGGAAGTCAAGGGTCACTTCTCAGCCTTTTGGCTACACAAGTAGAAATTCAGGTCCTGCAGAGATGGCTCAGTGGTAAGAGCATAGGCTATTTGAGTATGAGGGCCTGAGTTTCAATCCCCAGAACAACATAGAAGGTGGGTTATGGTTGTACATGTCTGTAACCCCAATAGCAGGGGTGGAGAGGCTGGGGTATGGTGTGGTGTGGTGTAGTGTGGGATGGGGTGGGGTGGGGTGGAGTGGTGGGGTGGTAGGTGGATCCTGAGAGCTTACTGGCCAGCCCAGCCAAAACAGTGAGCTTCTGTTCTGGTTCACTGAGAAACCCTGTCTCAAGGCAATAAGGCGAAGAATGACTGAGGAGGCCACCTGACAGCCTCCTCTGACCCCCTGACGCATTCTCACCTGCAGTCACATGCATGTATCACACACTCACGTGCACAGGCTGGCAAGATGCCTCAGCAGGTAACAATGCTTAGTATGAATGCCCGTACCATAGCACACGTGCCCATGCAAACCTGAATTCATGCACACACTTATAAATGGAAACTAAAAAATAAACAAATAAGAAAGAAATTCAGTCAAGAGGGTATCAAAGACCCACAACCACATACTCCACCCAGTTACCAGTCTGCCTTTCTCACTGGGATCTGACACAGGAAAGGGTGAAGCCAGTCTGTAGAGATCAAAAAGAACCTCTCATTGAAGGAGCCTGGGCCTAACGACTGCAGGCCTCTGCAGGGACCCTTTGAGGCAGGTACCCCATGGCTGCCCACCATGTCTACCTTGCTTCCTTCAGCCTCGCAGTCCCTGAGCAGCCAGGCCCGTCTCTGTGCTGTGTCATGTGTCATGGGCAGAGTCTGTGCTCAGCACTTAGTGAGTGATCCTGAGAGTCTGTGCTGAAGACAACCACAAGCCTGGGACCCTGAGCACCTGTCAAGAGTTCATCTGGAGACAACTGGAGATGCTCATGGGATTTCATGTAAAACAAAGTGAATGCTATAAAGAGCCCCAGGCCTGGCATTTATAGATGAACAATGAACACTATGGCCAAGTGCCAAAGGCCAAAATTTGTAAATAACCTACAGCTATGCCTCTTCTGCTGCCATGTACTAGCCCCATGACACAGGCTTCCCCTTGCTCCCCAATAAAGGAAAGTTGGTTTCCCTTGAGCAATGGACACAATTTCCCTGGGAAAGAATTCTAGTAACACCAGGTTAAGCATAGTCTATTTTAGAGTATTACAATTTTGATTTATTTTTGATTTTTTTATTATATGAGTGTTTATCCTGCATGTGTTTTTGTGCACGACATGTGTGCTTGATGTCTAACAGAGGCTGTAAGAGGAAGTAAGATTCTCTGGAACTGGAGTCACAGATAGTAGTTAGCCACCAGGTGCCGGGACTCAAATCTGGGTCCTCTGGAAGAACAGCCAGTTCCCTGAACCTCTGAGCCATCTCTCCAGCCCCAGCATTAAGAATTAGAAAACTGCACTGACTTTCTCTGGGTTATTTAAAAAGGCACAGAAATATATGGAGCAAGCTGTGTCAGCTTCAAGACCTCAAAGGCCGTAACCTTTTAGGCCTTTCAAATACCGTGAAATTTTTATCTGAGTCCCACACACACTTCTGAGAAGAACCAGGAAGCACTCACTCATATGACCCCTATGGAAATGGGATTTGGTGACTTATCAGGAATGATCCAGGGCTGGAGGGGAACCCAAAGATAGATGGTCCCTAGCCTGGGTCCCTGACACCTACAGCTCCCAGGGCTGTCATGGCTCTCCCACACCCCAGGACTGCCTGCCTCCTCTTACAATCAGACAGCATCCCTAATCTCTCAGGTTCCAAAATCTGAATTTTTCCTTGTGGGGGATCACAACCAGAGCCTCATACACAAAAGGCCTAAGTCTTCCCATCAAGCTCCGCCCCTGCCCCCAATCTGAAGCTTGCTGAATGCTGAGGTATCACAGGTAGAAATGTCCACAAAATGAAGACATGCTTGTGCATAAAGCCATTAAAAAGATGAAGAGTATTAATAAGTCCAGCCTAGTGTTTAAGGTTAACACAAACCACAGGTGATGGCTGTGTTTAGATTCAAGGTCCTTTGCCAAGAGACCTCTTCTGTAAGTGCCTAAAAACCACAATGCTTCTGTGGCCAAGCATTTTAGATGAGGACTCTCAATCAGAGTCTCCACCAGACACTCTGAACACAACAGAAATCCGAGTCAGTGCCTACAAGCCACCTGGTTCCTCTATACACACACACTCCATTCTATTGGTGGGTTGTCAGGCCCAGCTTTGCCAACCAATTTCTCCTCCATATTGGTCTTCTTCCATCATTGGTAAGACAGCACTCAGCGGGTCCCACTAAATCAGGTCACACTGAAGACTTTTTATCCCCACAAACCCCAAAGCTGGTCCTAGCGTGACCCATGTTCTCCACACTCTTGCCTCTGTGCAATTCCTGAGACCTGCTGAGCATGTCCGGCCTTAGCCTCTGTGCCTGCTGTTTGCTCTGCCCAGCAAGCCCTTCCCAGACACAACTCTCACTGTGCTCACATCCCCCAGGTGATCACTGGGGAGGCAGTGACATACAGAAGTGCCTGTGAGCCTCACACTAGAATCCACAGCCTGAAAGTGATTGGTTCTAGAAACCACTGAGGGTACATGGCCTTTCCTCTCCACACTGGAACAAGGAGCCCAAGTGGCAAACCGAATAGCAAAGGGCTGCCATAAGGAAAGTGCCACAGGAATGTACAGCACCACGCCTGTCAGTGTGTGTTCAATACATGACGGCTGGGGATATCTTCACAACTCTAGGACTCTGCTCGTGGGGAGGATGAGGCAGGAGAAGCTGCAAGGACACAGGCCTGACCACAATCATACAAGTACGTGGCTGAAGGGCAGCGGGTGCCAAAGAACTCTCGCCTACGATCAGGCAAGCCTTCGTGGGCCTCCTCAGCACACTGCCTTCTCACTGTAGATTTAACCCATCCCAGGAAAAATGGGCTGATGGTGTCTTCGAATGTTCTACACACACCCAGAACTACTCACACAGATCGGTTCCATACTTGAGCCCCACTTTGGGCACCCAGCCTTTGCTTCGGAAGTAATGGTAAGCCATGTAGGTAGTCCTGAAGGTGGGCTGGACTGCAGTGAAGGCTTGCCAGAGCTTTGCTATTGTTAAAGGCTCCTAAAGTTGTTAAAAAAAAAAAAAAAAGAAAAAGACATAAGTTTGCATGTATTTACTCCCACTCAGTAAGGAGCAGGCATCTAGATTAGCATGCTATTGCAGCAGCAATGCAGACAAACAAGGGATTCATTTAGGAGACCTGGCCTACACTGAGTGGTTCCTCACAACCCAGGTGCTACTGTGATGTCTATCTCAGCATGATAAAGCAACAAAAGTAACCTTGGTAATTTGGTTCATGTTAGGTTAATCACATTCTTTTTCCTTGCAGTGCTGGGTGTGCAAGACAGGGCCTTGTGCACACTCCAGCAAGTGCTCTACCACTGAGCTACAGCCCATCCTCATGCATATGTGCATTTTAAAAGCTGTGCACATATTATTACAATTGGCTTTGTGGGTGAGGGACAGTCTCACAACTGTAGCCCAGGCTGGCCTTGAACTTGTCGTCTTCTCACATCTGCTTCCCAAGTATCATTAGAAAAGTCTCCAGTGACCCATGTGGCTCCCACCCAAAGCTCTCACTCATGTCTTCTGAAGCAGGACTTTAGAGAACTCAGAAAAGAGAACAATGAGGCCGGGGTGCAGCTTAGTGATGGAGCATGGGCTCAGCACACATAGGCTCCAGGCTCCATCCTTGGGAGAGGGATAGTGAGAGTGAGAGTGAGAGTGAGAGGGAGGGGGAG